CCAGTCCTGCTCGTTCGAAGGGGCGCGTGCCAGGCGCGCCCAGTTCGCTTGTTGGGCCGCATTTGGTAGTGGGCCTGCCAAGGTGAGGCCCATACCGGAACATTTTTCAAATGTTATTTAAAATAATTTTTGATTTTATAACTTTTACCTTTTTACTTTTTCTTTTATTTTTATGCTTATTATTTTAATTAAATTTATTTTTATTCTTAAAGTAAAATAAATATATTTTAAGTATAAAAATAAAAATAAAAATAAAAAGTTCTTTATGGTTATTTTTAAAAACGTGTAAGGTGTGTTACCACACATAATCCACATTTTTTTTACCATTAAACCATTGTTAAATAGAGCTAATAAAATATTTGTCATGATTAAAGTGTGGAAAGATAGAGTTCTTATTTATTTTAGACAAAATATCATTTTTGATCATTTTTTGTTATAAATTAAAAACTTTACTATTGAAGCATTATTCACTTTTTTTTATTACGTTTATAAATGAGATATATATTAATTATTTCTCTTCTTTGAATTTCTTCAAGCCTTTTCAACTTAGGTTTTTTCAATCTAAGATCAAAACAGTTACAACACTACTCGAATGTGGAAAGGAGGACTAAACATATTTCCTAGAAGATTTTCCTAGAGAGCATATAAGACTTGATTGGGCATTTTATTTAAAGATTTTTCTCACATTTTTTGGATTCATGCCATTATTAAGAGATTAAGGTTGTTGTGGTTCATGGAATATGATATTTGAAATCAAAATCAAAATTTGTAAATTTGGAAATTTTAAAATAATTATTTCAAATCTAGATCCTCTGAATTCGAAATCAAAAGCAAAAACATTATTTCAAAATCGAAATCCTAACGTGTTTGTTGTTGGGAAATTCCACTAGATGAATTTTGCTGTGTTGGTGGTGGTTGAGGTTGGGAGCTTTTTCCTCTTTCAATTTCAATTTGCTGCTTATGGAAACAATAGAAGGCCGTTGTGGAAATAAGAGAAGGTTGTTGGTGGTGTAGAATTGTAGACTGAGTTTAAATCTTAGTTTGCAGCCACCATAAGATCCTGACGCATGGACATTGGAACAATGATATGAATAATGATTCGTCACTCAAATTTACCATTACTGTCAAAAAAATACTCCAGTTTCACCATGTGAGATCCAACCGATTACAATATTTGATTAAGAGAATTATTACTAATTGACATAAGGTTGTAATTCAAGAACTGAAATATCGAGGATATAATGCATTTGGTGTGAATTTGGATAGAATGCATCTAGTTGCTTTGATTTGTAAAATAAATAAACAGGATGTAAAATAAATAAATAAACGCCGTTTGAGAAAAATAGACGGAAAGGACTAACGTGACACTGTTTGAACAATTAAAGGATCAACGTGAAACTTTTTAAAATTGAGGGACCAAAATGGACTCCGAGGTAAAGTTAAAGGACCAAAAATAATATTTTGCCTTTATTTTACCATGATTGAACCATATCTAATTGACATAGGTCTCCATATCTAATTTGTGTTTTCATTTATAAATCAATTTTATACATATTATTGATTATTCTGAATGTTTATGTAGGAACTATTGACAACTAAGTATTTTATGTTCGAAGAAAAATATTGTAGTTTTGTTATGCTCGTTACACTATAAACTTAACGAAAATATGTAAAACGTTTTGAGCAGGTAAGTGATATTATTTTTAATACTCAAAACTTACCTTTAATTTTGAATAGTTTCTATTTATGATTATTTTTTACCGGCATGTGGAGCTATAGAGGGATACAACTTTGTGAAACGTAATATACTTAGTAAAAAGTCAAAGGTCATTTTCCAAAATGTAAGTATTACTTTTTTTTTTTTTGACATTATTTTATTTTTGCTAATATATTACTTGTGATTTGTGTGTTTCAATTAGTAACTTTATGAAAATTATTTGTAGTCACGAAAACAACCCGACAACTTTGAATGTTGATACTATTTTATGTGACATATGTTTAATATTCTTTTCAGAGGCATTACCAATGCATGTCGTATCAACTTTATCCATATACATGCAATTTATGTATATTTGTTAAGTTAATGTTGTTGTTGTTACCTTATCATAATTTAAATTTTATTCAAATTATTGGGGTTTAGCGATGAAACACCATTCCCACACGAAGATATAGATGATATTCGATCACGTTGGACCAGTGCCTTCCTATTTTATTATGAATCTAAAAAACACTAGTTTTTTCTTGTTTTTTTTTTAAGTATTGTATATAGATTTTGTCATTATAGGTGTAAATATGTATGCATTCAAATATGTATAGGTTCTTTTGGTAGAGGTTTTGTGTATCCCAATTGCCATTATAAGTACCATAAGCATTGTACATTTGATTTTGTAAAAATGTAAATTTGGTATTTTGTGTTATGTTCTGTATAAAATACAAATGATCTGATTTTATTACATAATTTGTAGTTTTTGTGTAAAAAATGATAGTACATATCAGTCAAAATGAGATTTAAAACAAATAATAATTGACAAAAAAATAGGTTATAACCATAAGTTATTAACAAAAACCGACATAAATACTGGTCTTTTCCCCTAGTTATTAACAAAAATTGAGAGGTATATAGTGCGCGCTACATAGTTTTGAAAAAAAACGTTGTTGTTGTGAATTCAACTAACGACCTTTTCAACTATCCCTTCGGTTTAACTGAAGGGTAAGGTGACTGATTTTTATATTGCTCATCATTACCTTGTTTGTTTAACCGAGGTAAAATTCCCATCGAGTCCGAGGTAAAATGGGTATATTTATAGTAGTGTTTGTATGGTACCAAAATTTATTTTGTAATTATTTGTCTTTCCAGGCACTTAAAGGCTTTTTAGTACTTCACCCCTTTAGTGTTTAATCAAGTGACGGGTTTTCGTACCCACGTCTTATTTTCGTGTCTTACTTTACAATGTGGCTTGGCATTGTCGTGACTTGTAATTGCAAAGATCGTTCCATAAGGATGATGATGTTTCTCACGGGAAGGTAAGGGTTCTTACACGAGGATCTAACACGTGTGATCGCCTCGAGGGGCGACAAGAATTACTTTGTGAGGTTTCAACATGTAAAATTTCCTCATATGGGCGTTAAGGATTCTTGACGAGAATCCAATATATATGATCGTCTCATAGGACAATTTCGATTAGATCTCTTTCGCTTTTCAGTTTCCTAAAAATAAAGGAACACTATTCATAACTTCTATAATAATGTGAGGGGCACTATTCATAACTTCTATAATAATGTGAGGGGCTTCATTAAAAACCCCTACACCTCATTAACAACGCAAAGGAAAAAGTGAACCCCAAGAAATAAAGAATGTCACGAATTCAACCTTATAAGCAGAAAAAGATTATAACTTTCCTAAATAAACCCACATAGTAAATAAAACTTAAACATGGATTAACGCCTAAATAATGAAAAACTGTTAACAAAGATCTTTTATGGTTGTCTTGTACTTTCTTGAAGTGAATTGATTAGGTTTTCTCCCGACTTGTCCTCTAACTTTAGACCTATAATGTTCACCCTGTAATATTAGTCTTCTTCAACTTTAAGAATCTTTTAATCTCCTTTGATAATCCTAACTCACCCATTTAAGACTGGGTACTTAATACAAATATACAATGTGGATAGGGCGGCTCCTAGTTGGTTAAAAGAAGGCCACCATATAATTATGTTATATGAAGAGGGTTCATCTATACCAAGGTACCTTAGCATAATTTTCTTGGAACTTTCTTATGTTTCAAAGGTGGTCTACAATGTTATATAACCTTTCACCTACATTTGTTTGCCAAAAAATTCTACCAATGATCTTTGAAAAGTTTTAAGATTGTTTAGGTACAAGCAAAGCTTATCAACAACAATATTTAAGTTAAGATTGAAAAATAAACAGAGTAACTATTATATTTATATGTCAATTGAATTAAATGAGTGAAAGTTGTTGGTATAGAGTTTAATTTTCAATAATAATATTTATTTTTTATATTTTTATATTAATATTGATATTTATAAAAGTCTAACTCAACTTTATAAAATTAATTTTGTAGAGATGAATTATGTCTAATCTAAATTATGAGATAATATCATAGACAAGTTTAAGATTCAGATTTCTCATCAATTATTTGTAACAAAAATCACCACAATCATCAGTCAACAACAACAAATCAACACAACAAGGCATTCGTAACAAAAATCAGACGAAAGAAGAAGAAAAAAAAGAAAATTCACTGAAAAAATTGAATTCGTCGACAAAAGAAATTTTCGAACGCGACCACCATCTCTGACCGCAATTTTATTTCTTCCACCACCATCCGACGCCGCGAGTCTGAACGCGACTCCCCTAGTCGGAATTGCATCGCCACCGTCATTTGTTTTCACCGGAAAACACCTCCCAATAAATTTGTTTTCAATTTTATTCATGCTCTTTGATTTGATTTTATGGTTTGAGAATTAGTGATAAAAAATAAAAAATTTTCACACCCTGACGAGAGAGGAGAGTGGAATTTTTGGTTTGAAATGTAAGAGAGAAAAATAAAAGCTTTGATGAAATTGTTTTTAAATAGCAAAAAAAAGAAATGATGGACGCGTAGCATGATACCACCCAATTAAAAATACTAAATAGTTGGTCAAAAATAAGTTTAGTGTAAATTAAAACTAGACTGTATCAATTAAATTTTATATTGCAAGTGTAACCGGTTTGAACATGTGTCCGATTTTTAAATGATTGATATCAATATTTGAGTATCCATCGAGAAAAGTGTATCATGACTCATGAATCTACGAACAAATACAAATAAATGTTTGAAGTACACGTGACCATATCAGCGACACGTAGCAGCTACGTGTTGAGAAAACAGCCAAATTATCTCGAGACGTGCCTAACCAATTTCTTTTATTCAATCTTTTCCTTTGAAGCATCTACATAGATATAGATTGAACACAGCTACAAGAGAAAGCAGAAGAAGATGAGTACTGGAAACGAAAACTGGAGGACAAATGCAGAAACACACAAGATGAGTTCAGAACAAGTAAAAGCAGCAGGAGTGGAAGATTCAAAGCGACCACCAGGTAGTAGCCATGGCTCTGGTAGAAATGTTCTTCACCAAAGGAAATCACTTCCGTTCAACTATTCAACAATGGCTGTAGCTGGTTTGCTTATTACAGCTGCTGTTGGATATTCGGTTTTGTATTCAAAGAAAAAACCAGAAGCCACTGCTGGTGATGTTGCTAGGGTTTCTGTTGGAGTTGCAGATCCTGAGGACACCCACCCTAAGAAATAGATATATAGTCATATATTTAGACATTGTGACGGTGTTACTGTATTTTATTTTGTGTTATATCAATAAAATTATGATATTCATAGGAATAGTTGTTTTGATATAATATGAATGTTTGTTATAATTATTTTAGTGCAAGATCGGTTTGTTTTTATTCCTACTATGCACTTACCGAACCACCTTCATAGAATTAGAATAACAAATAAGATTTTTCTATACAATATTTAACCGGTAATCAATAGAGGTCTCATTTAGAACTCCTTAATTTTCAAACTCAAGAGCTTTAAATGGGGAATTACCAAAACATCAATCGATTGCACCAAAGCACCAATCAATTGCATTAAAAAACATGCAATCGATTACTCTAAGAGTGTAATCGATTGTTCTAAGAGTGCAATCGATTATACTTGCAAAAACTTAAAAAACTTATGTTAAAAAAGTTTTTGATTTTTGAGCAACTAGGACTTAAATATTTGATGAAGATTTTTATTATACCTTGTAAAGAAAACAACCACTACAGGGCCAAACATTGAAGAAGCATGGTGGTTCCAACAAATTTAAGGGTAAAGGAAACAAGATTCAGAGCAAGAGCAAGAAGGCCAGGTTCCAACAAATTTAAGGGTAAAGGAAACAAGATTCAGAGCAAGAGCAAGAAGGCCAAACATTGAAGAAGCACGGTGGTTCCAACAAATTTAAATCATGAAAAAAAGAGAAAGAATATTATATCAAAAAAGAAAATAGGAGAAGAAAAGTGTGTAATTCTATAAATGAAAAATTGGGTCACTTGGCCGAGAATTGCTGGTGCAAGAAAGACAAAGGAGAGACAAAATGCAAGGGTGATGAAGGAGCAAAACTTTTACATTAGGATCCAAATGATTATGAAGGTATGGTGCTTATGGGTGCAATAACAGAAGAGCGTGTCGATTTCAAGATCTAGTTTCTCGACACAGACTGTTCGAATCATATGATTGGTCGAAGAGTGTGGTTAGTAGATTTCAGTGAGTCGAAGAAGAGCAAGGCCAGACTTTCAAATAGTATCTTGTTGCAAGCATCAGTAACTTAGTTATGCAAAAGCATAATAGAGCAAAAGCTATTATCAAAGATGAAATATATGCACCTGGAATAAAGTGCAATCTCCTATGTATTGGACAACTGGTTGAAAAAGATTTCTCAGTGGTTATGAAAGATAGAGTCTTGGAATTGTTCAACACCCAAAATAATTTGGTCTTAAAATCTCCTCTGTTGAAGAATAGGACTTTCAGACCATGATCAGTTGGACTGAGGTACAATGTCTAAAAATAGTTGTCAATCACGAGCATAATTGGTAGTGGCATTTGAGGTTTGACTATTTGAATATTAGTTTACTCAATCAACTGATTACTGAATAGATAGTAACAGGTATACCAATTCTTGTGATACCCGACAAACTCTGTGAAGGTTGCATAGTAGGGAAGTGGTTCATAAAGTCTTTTGTTTTGACTATGCTAGTGAGATCCTCCTGAATACTAGAAGTAGTATATTTAGATGTATGTGTCTTATTTGAGGATCATACTATTGGTGGAAACAATTATTTTGTCTCATTTATTGATGAGTATAATCTAAATATTTGGATCTATGTGATCAGGTGCAAAGATGAAGTATTTGTAATCCTTAAAAGATTCAAAATGCATGTCGAAAACCAAAGTAAAAATAAGACTAAGGTTCTGCGAACAAATGAAGGTTTAGGATGGATAATTTAAATCTTGCATCATCACCTGTCGAACCTAATATGAAACTAGAGAAGCATGAAAAGGAGGACAATGTCGACGTCATTTTGTTCAAACAAGTTATAGGATCTCTGAGGTATGTGTGCAATAGCATACCTGATATATGTTTCTCAATCGGATTGGTAAGCAGATACATGGATATACGAAAGGTGTCACACATGAAGTCTGCAAGAAGAATCTTGATATACCTAAAAGGATCAATAAACTGCAGAATTTTATTTCTACGAGATTCTGAAAGCAAATAAGTTGCTATTAATTTCTATTCAGATGCTAATTGGTATGGAGATAAGGAAGATCGAAGAAGCACAATTGGTTATTTCTTTCAAGTATTTGGTACCTCAATCTCACGGTTCTCGAGAAAGTAACCCGTGGTGGCATTACCATCATGTGACGCTGAATATATATCAGGATCCTATGATGCTTGTCAAGCAATCTGGATCAGATTTGTGTTGGATGAGACGAAAGTCGAAGTGAAGAAACCTCTGGTGTTATAGATCGACAACAAGTCAGTCATCAATTTTGCAAAAAATTCAGTTCTTTGTGGAAGGAGTAAGCATATTAAAGCTAGATTTCACTTGCTAAGGAAGAAGGTAAATCAAAGTGAACTTGAAGTGATTCATTGCTCAAGTGAAACACAGTTGGCCAAAAGTTTCACCAAAGGATTGAAGATGAACATATTCTTAACTTTGAGAAAGAAATTAGGAATAGTTCAGATCGATTAGCTTGTGTTTTTGAAACTTGGATTATAAAGGGGTATGTTGTGATATACTCAAAGTTAGTTAGTTACTTGGTTAACAAGTTAGTTATTTTGTTATGATTAGTTACTTGAGTTACAAGTAACCTACTTGTATATATACATGTATAATGTAATTTAGTTTTAACAATTTCAATACAATTACCTTTCATTCTCTCTCTTCTCAATTATTCCTCCCTCACCTAAGTGCACTGACACTAACACTTTGTGTTCTCATGCTTTATCTTCCTTTAGCTTCTCGTGGATTTACTCACACTAATTGTAGATTATTTTGGTTTCTTCAAGTCATTTATTTTGGTTTTCATTATTCTTTGTCCCACACGTCTTTGCTATCAACGAAATTAATACTATTCTTAGATTTCAACAATAGTTTGGTGAGATTGAACCTTTTAATTTCACAATAAAAATAAAATTATTTTTGCTCAATAGAATTTTTCTGGGAATCAAAACATAAAATATTAGATTTATATATTTAACTTAACTTTGTCGTACAAAATAGTCTTGTAAAGTAATTAATTTTATTGTTTATAACCTATTCTCATACTAGATATTTAATCTAAAGGCTTGAGTTTTTTGGGTACACTAAGTCTTGTCAACACTAATGAATTTGATTTGTGATTATAAATGATGATGGTCTAAATTGATATGTGGGACTTGATTTTGTTAATGCACTCAACACTATTATACTTAGTGTATGGATATTATTTATAAATAGTGGATGGACCGAATGAATAGCCTCTGATATCATATTCAAGTTTTATATTTGACCAAATTCAACCTCACAAAATCAATATAAGGTTAAGTTACCTAAATTCTAAGATGATATCAAAGTTTATAGAAAATTTGTTAAACTACATGACATCATATTTATGCTATCAGATCGGCCACGATTTATATCCATACAAAAAAATAACTAATATTTTTTGGTGTGAGGTGTGTTAACAGTCTCAAATAAAATGAAGTAAAGCATACATAATTGTTTATAAACAAAAGCATTTCTTATCTAACGAATTAGAATTATAAGGATGTGTTATGCTCAATTTGAAAAACTTAGCCAAATTATTGTTGGATACTCCTCATAGATTAAAGAAGGATCTTGAAAACAGATTATAAGGAGTGACATCATCGTTTTACATACATGTTTTGTAAGTTTGGGTTAACCTCAACTTAAATTCTTAAAATTATATGATGATAGTCTGGTCGTTAGACTTTAATACCATATTAGATATTTATATTGAGTTTAACACATTCCTATAAAATCTACTAGTATAGTATGGTAACGGTTGCACTATAAACTCTAATCATATCCTATTTACACAGAATGGGGGATTTGAATAAACCTAATATAAGGTGAGTATTATTCTCACTTTTATATTTATGTTAACGTCATTTCTTGAATGTGAAATTTTCAGTACACACTCTTCATATTTTGGAATGGACATTTGGAGTGTAGCTCGAGTGACTCGATAATAGGTGCTTTAACTATTATCTCATTCAACTTTACAAAATTAAATTGACATACAAGAAAAAAATTTATCTTATTTATAAACTCATGTTCATATCACCTCTAATGTGAGTTTTCACCAAAAATATTTAATAATAATAAGAATTATTATTATTATTATTATTATTGGTGAGAAGTTGAAAAACATCATAATGTCCATCAAATTGTCTAAATTGTGTATAATACAAATGAAGAGTAGGTGAAATTGCTAAGTATCCCATTTCATATATATATATATATATATATATATATATATATATATATATATATATATATATATATATATATATATATATATATATATATATATATATATATATATATATATATATATATATATATATATATATATATATATATATATATATATATATATATATATATATATTGTTGGGGGAATAGTAGGGTATTCTAAGAGTATGAGAAATTGTCACCTGAAAAATATAGCTAGGATGAATGTAAAAGCCGATATAAGGTTGCTAAGAGCATCTCCAACCGTGAATTCATTTTTGGGTTCTTTGTGGGACCTATTAAGCCACGTCAGCTTGAAGCAACTCAACTACTTTTTCACTCCAATGGTGCAATTCTGAAGAACTCAGATTGGATCTCACAACTTTATTATATATATATATATATATATATATATATATATATATATATATATATATATATATATATATATATATATATATATATATATATATATATTAATATTTTATTCATATTAAATTTTATATTAATTAAAATTATAATTTTAGTGTTTTAAATTAAATTTGATATAAAATATAAAAAAAATTAAATTAAACTTATAATTTAAAATGATAATTAAAATTAATCTCAAATACATGATATATAATTAAAAACAATAAAAATAAATAACATCACATAATTAATCAAACTTAAAATTCATCATCTTCATGTTCTAAACGTTCCCAAATATATTCGACTAGATCTCCTTGAAGTTTACGATGAACTTGTT